TTTGTCTGTCTAGTTGATCATATGATTTTTTTTTTTGACAAGACTAGTTGATCATATGATGATGAACTGGATATATAATATAATATTTTATTTTGTGAAAACTGGATACAATATATATTGACAACAATGAATAGGCCATAGTACTACGTGTGCATGTCTCTTCTGTCTCTGGCCTGCTACTTAGATGCTCTCTCTCTCTCTCTCTAGCTTTGGACAATTGGCCTGCCGACCGGCGATAAGGTGACTTTTATTTATTAATGTGTATTTTTCCATTATCGCCGGCCCATTTTACTGATGCAGTCGGCCGCTGAGTTGATATGGCAACCGTACTTATATTACGGCAATAACTCACCTATATATATTATAAGCATTTTGCATATGCGTCAGTGGGATTGCAGAAACCTTCATATGCTAAGCAAATATTATAAGCATACTACATCGGTTGATGGGACCGTAGTAATTGTTAAGAACGATTCGATAAGCAAGTGTTGTAGAAAATTGGTAATCGTTCGAGTTCCAGTAGTTGAACATGTGCTTAGTGATGACAATTTCAATCCGCCCCGTGGGTATTACCCGACCTGACCCGTAATGGGGCGGGTATTACCCGACCCCGGTAGCGTGGGGCGGGGCATGGGTATCTACTTCCGACCCACCTTGCCCCGTTCTAGACTCATTTTATCTCAAATTCTTAGAATATCTATACATATTTCTCCTATTTTGACTTTTCTTCAACTAGTTAGAGTCGATCTTTCAACTTGTTAGGCTCAATTATCCATTCTATTATCAATATTTTTCATTCTTAAAATGTTTTTCCCTACGTTTTATTGTAAAAGTAAAATTTACTTGTATTTTTTTGAACAACATGTAAGAGTGGGTCGACTCGCCCCGTACCCGCGCGGGTTTGACCCGCCCGACCCGTAGTAGTGTGGGGCGGGGCATGGGAATTAAGGTACCCGCCCCGCCCCATTGCCATCACTACATGCGCTCTATTGTCATGCGTAAGGGTTTGTCTGCTTTGCTTGGTACTGTATCGAAAATTGATCGATCATGATTTGAAAATGATATTTTATATAAAATCTGTTCTAACAACCACTCAGGTTACAATAGCACAACTGTTTTTCCTCCTTTTTTTCATATAGCTCAAGTACTACGAGATTATTGATACCTTGTTTACAAAGTAAGATTTGACCTGTGCTACCAACAAAGCCACTTTTTTTTCTTCTTCCTACGAGATAAACTTTTTCTCCCTTTGTTGACAATTCAACAAAACAACTGAAATTATTAGTTGAATTGAATCTAAATTCGATTGCTTCTACATTAACACGAGTGACTTGGTCCTAAAGGAACGAGTCATTTCCCATTTTAATATGCCACAATTTTTTTGGGATTGAAAGTCTTTGGGGAACAGCTAGCAGTCCAAAATGGGGTGAAAGTAAAATAAGCACGTACGGTCTGTTTGCTATAGCCTGTGGAAATGGAATGATTGATCACTACCTTTGGCACTATATGATATTAATTAATTTGATGCTCGCGGTAATCAAACGGAATCAAAATCAACGAGACCAATTATTTAAACTACGATATGTAGAATAGTCTAATACATACTCAGTTATTTATTACAATACCGTAATCAAATCTTACTAACTTCATCACTGATATATGAGTTTATATTAATCGGTATAACCTGTTGATTAATTGTACATTATCGTCACCTCCTACCGATCAGATACCGGTTCCTTCCATCGTGCATGTTAGATAAACCCAACAATGTTCCATTCACAAATCTAGTGTTTGGTTGTTTAGTTAGACTTGACTACTATCCATCATCTAAACTAACATGGACTAGTAGTGTAAGACTACCAAAGACTCAGTGGAAAGCTAGCTTGAAGAACAGTAGTTTTTTCTTTAACAATATGTTAGATTCCTTCCTGGTAGCATGAACTAAAATACAATTTTTTCCCCCACAATTTTACACAATAAAAATTAACTAAATTAAAATACTACTAACCATAATAATAATTAGCTTATCCAACTAGTTGGTGCTGCATTAATTGCAAAGAAGTAATTGCCAAACATGGCACTGTCCAGAAGGGTGATTTTTATATATTGGGGTTTTAGGGTAGGGACTGAGGGGGAGACATAGCTTGTGTTAGCATTGATCATATTCATATATGGATTCACATTCATTCATGCAATTGGTTGTTACTGTAATTAATAATTAATTAATTATTATAGTAAAGTTGTTCCCATGGTGATTAAATAATAGGCTGGACTTGTTGTAAACAGCTCATGGCCATGGCTCACATATAATGATAATGTGGCCCACTCATGCCATTGAAACAAGGCCCACGTTAGTTATGGTCTCTACTCTCAAGGATCTCTTTTGGATCTCAGCCGGCCCATGACTAGCTTCGGTTCATTGGAAATTTTAAGCAAGGCGTCTTTCAAATGCGACGTCGTTTCACTTGAGCGTGAATGCGTGATACAAATTCACAAAGGTGAACTTTTTTGTTCTTAGGGCAATGTCTATTTTTTACCCAAACCTTTTCAAAATTCTTTTATTTTACCCAAACCTATCAAAATTCTATTTATTATCCAAACTTATTGTAACTGATCAAAATCTGGGCATTCGTTCTGTTACCGTTACTTATTTCGCAACGGAACTCCACGTCAGCATCCACGTCAACATACACGTCTGAAATTAATAAAATAAAAAATCATAAAAAAATTTGAAATTACAAATAAAATAATAAAAAATATCAATTCTTTATTTTTGTTCCTTTACTCTCTCCGCCTCTCGACTCTCTTTTCCCCGATCCTCTTCCTCTCTCTGCCTTCCCTTTTTCTTCTTCTTCTTCCAGAAAAAGAAAAAGCTCGATCTGGAAAAAATGGATCAGGAGGGGCATCCCATTCGATTTATCTCCTCGCCTCCCTTCCTCTCCTCTCCGCCACCGTCAACGAACTGTAGAAGAAGAAAAAACAAGAAAAAGCTTCCTTCAGCGCCGGTAATTCCGAGTCCAATCGAAGACGACTCACTCCATGGCCCCTCTCCTGTGGATGGGAAAGATCTGGAGGCGAATCACGGGAATGGATCAGGTGAGTAACTTTATGGTGAGTAACTATGAGTAACCCGCCCACATCAGCATGACATCAGCATCCTCTCTCTCCTGGAAAGCATTTAATTTTCCCCTCTTTAATCTTTGACGGACGATTTGTCATTCGTTTTAAGTCAAAATTTAATTTTTTTTGCACAATTAGATCAGATTAATTGTGCTCTTCAAAATGATATCCACTTTGATATATTTTTCGAACAAAAAAAAAATTGAGCCATTTTTTACCAGTCTATACCATATGGTATTGACTGGTATTGAAATAAGAGCATACCTATGGTTTGAAAAGCGTACCATGGTGGTATGAACAAACCAATACTGTAGGATGATTGAATACATGATAGTAGAAGTATATTAATTGTCATTTACGACTTTTAACATTGTATACCATAAGATACCATAAAATACCACCCCGTACAAGGGTGGTATTGTATGGTATTTGGTGGTATTTTTTGGTCTTGTAATTTGTTCACCCAGAAATTTGTAGATCCAATAGATCATGATGAACTCGTCCCTGCTGTGCAAACGTTTTCAAAAACGAATGAAAAACGAAGAAGATACCATATGGTATGCAGTTGGTACCGAGAGGCCAAAATTTTTTTTTCCCTCAAAAAATATTGAAAATTGATCTCATTTTGTAGAGCACGATGAACTCGTTCCATCTGTGCAAAAAAAATTAAAATCCGAGTTAAAACGAAAAAGATATGAGTCAATTAAGAAAGCTAGTGAAAATAAAAATGGTATTTAATTCTCCATTCTTAGATCTGGATTTTCTAAATGAAGGGTCCAGATTTGGTTATTGATGAGTGCATAACCCATGGTTATGCACCCTATCTTGAGCCGCGAATCACTCCTTGCCGCCTCTCCTGTCGGGATGGAGAAGAAGCCGGCCAAACCCGGAGAAGAAGTCGTCGCTTCTTTCACTTCCCGCCATGTCCATGCCCCGCCGGGAAGAAGCCTGGGTCTTCGCTGTGATTGGGATTTGAGAGAAAATCTGAGGGATTGCGAGAAGGAAGAGGAAGAAAGCCCAGGTCTTCGCTGGGATTGGGTCGCCGGAGAAGCTTCTATCTAGATCTCGTCGGAGAACCAGACGGCGGCGGCGGGGGTGGTGACGGCGACAGCGGCGGGTATTGTGGATACGAGCGCCGCGGTTAATTATGACGATCTGAATAATAACCAGCAGAAGAATGTGTTGTCGCTGGATCTCAATTTGCCGGCGCCGGATGATCTCGACGCCCACCAGCATCACCGTGCAGAGCAGTCTCCGTCGAAGTTCCAGTTCGCGTCGAAGCAATCGACGAAGGCGATGATGTTCTCGGCTCCGGCGTTGATTGGGTGCCACTACTGATCAGAAACAGAAGAGAGAAGCCAGAAGGAAGAAGAAGAGGAGATAAGCTCGCAACTCCACACTCAAGCTGCAAAGCAGTTCAAGGCTCCCGATTTGGGACGATGAGGAGGTGGATGAAACTGGAGTCGAGCCGAAGGTCATTGAGTTGGTGATGACACATAATAAAAAAAATTAATTTATTGCCACATCAGCATTTTTTTGCCCGTGCAGTTTTAACTAACGGAACTATTAACGGAAACTTAACGTTTGGATAATAAATAGAATTTTGATAGGTTTGGGTAAAATAAAAGAATTTTGAAAAGGTTTGGGTAAAAAATAGACATTGCCCTTGTTGTTAAACTAGAGAGTTACCAAACCCTATGGATAATCGGTGGTAACTTGGGGAGCAAGACAAAGGATATCTACACCGTAAACGTCGGCGATTGAGTGCTAGTTCCATAAAATAGATTCTCTATATGCAAATCAAAACTTCAGACTCCGATTAGGGTTTCTAATTACTGTCACCGCTGAGAATTTCTCTCCTAATTTCCTTCTCCATCGACATGAGCGACGAGAAGTTCGATTGCGGTTTCGAGATGTTGCAAGTGATTTATTTAAGTAGCGGAGATGACCTGGAGCAGGTGGCGGCGGGGAACCCCTTCAAGTTTTGGGCATTCGAAGAGTATTGCGAACGAGCACGAGCAGCCAACGGTGGCCGGTCCACCTCCTTTACTGTCCGCTTGACTCGCGAGTTCTTGGAGCAGCAGCTTCTGTTTGGGGGAATCAACTTCGATCCTCTCTTCTGCACTTTTGCCCTCTACCCTGTGGCCGCCGCCGCCGCAATCGCCGCCGCCCAAACCTGCACTACCCCGCTCTCCCGCATCGTGATCCTCTCTCAGGTAATTAGCTGTCACTACAAGAAACTGCATTTTTTTTTCTCGCAGACGAATTCTATTGCGACGAAAATGTTTTGCTTAAAATTGTCATTTATGAATTTGAATATTTCTTAAAATTATTGCCATGAATTGAATATTTCAAGCTCGACGGTTGAGTAAAAATCGGTTATTATGATTTCGAACAAACTGCTATGGTGAAATGGGTAGACACGCCGAACATCTCGGTTCGATTCAGAGTAGTCGCATAAGATTTTTTTTTTTAATTTTCAAAAATATCCAACACAAAATAGTTGGTCGCAGAATGTTGGAGGACTTTCTGCGACGAATATCTGTCCATGTTTGAGGATATTTCGAGACGAACGTATGCAGTGGCGGAGGGAGAGGGTAACAGGGTGGGTCCCGAGACCCACCCTGGTTCGGGAGGAAAATGGTTAAATTAGGTACGATAATTAATTGACATCGAAAACTAGGTCACGTTTAATTAATAATAGTTTATCGAAAAGTTTTGTGTTTGAATCTTGGCAACCTTATTTCTTAAGCATACGGTATACAGATTTGTGCAAACTTCAATTTCGTATAAGTTGATTTTCTTATGAGGGAGCATGCTAGTAAATGGTATCATGTATATTATTGAATATCTTCCAACAACTCGATTTGTTCATACTAAATGAATTTTTTTACAAAGAACATTATTCGAAAGCTAAATCATGAATTATTGATTGATGTAAGATTTATTATTAAACCTCTATCAACAACTCGATTTATTGATACTAACGGTTCTTGACAAAGAACACCATTTGAAACAATACGAGTGTACGACTAACTAAATCAATAATTGTTTGGTACGCAAAATGATATTCTTGATATTTTTTACTATTAATGCATTTTAATTTACCAAAAAAATTCAATTTAAAATTATATTAACAAAAACTATTTTACCATGTGTAATTTTTCCTAGATGGATCCACCTTAAACGAAATTCTGGCTACGCCACTGAATCGTATTTCTGTTGTCGCAGAATGTCTCGAGATATTTTGCGTCACAGTCGTTGAAAAAAACATAATTTCGGCAAAACACACGTACACCCCTTAACGATCAGTCGCGCTCTTTTGCGTTGATGGATTGCAGGTTGAAGGCTCCGGCGGCAGGAGGAGCATATTAGAGCAGGCTGCTCGGATAATGGAAGAACAGGGTTTGGGAAGGGAGTTGATAAAGGTCGTCCTAAAAATTACTAATGATCGTCCTAAAAAATAACAAAGTTACAATTTTAACCTTTTGTCATCTTTACCTTTCCTTTAGCAAACAAGCACTACCTTCACTTAGAAAACAAAAACACTCTCGAATTAATCGACATTCTGAAGTCATAACCGTCAACAATACGTCCAAACAATGAATAGCGACTCCGACGAGGTAAAAATCTCGATTTTTTTAACAGAAGATAATTTTTGGTTGATCCATGGGTCGACCAAAAATCAAATTTAGTTGAACCATGGACCAACCGAAAATCGGATTCGGCTGAACCATGGACCAACCGAAAATCAACTTCGGTCATGCCATGGGTGAATCGAAAATCTGTTTCGTTTGCACCACGGCAGAACCAAAATTTGGTTTCGGTTGATTCCCGGCGGAACCGAAATTCTGCTTCGGTTGTGACGAGGCGCGGACGGACGACGAGATCACTCACCTTCTCCGGCGACGACGAGTGCTGGCGCGGACGGACGAGGCGCGGCGGAAGGCTTGGGGCGGCGGACAGCGAGACGCGGCGGAAGGAGGACGAAGTGCGGCGGACGACGAGGCGAGGCGGGAGGCCTGGCGGGTGATGCGGCGGACGACGAGGCCTGGCGCGGCGGCGGGACTGGAGGCGTGGCCGCCGACGTGATGACGGCGGGGTGGAGGATGGCGTAGTGGCGGCGGTTGCAGCTGTGGTGGAGGGTCGTGGGAAGGGTTTTGGAAAGGAAGAGGTAGGGTGTGTTTGTTTTGTCTTTCAATTTGAAATTTAAAATGGGCATTTTAGTAAATTACGTATTAAGTTAGGACGATCATTAGTAATTTTTAGGACGACATTTAACCATTCAGTTTGGGAAGAGGGCTCAAAGGATACAGAGGACTTTGGAGGGGGAATTTGGTCTCCATTGTTCATCAGCTCACCTTTTTCTGGATCCAGTTCTTCACCTACATGGGTTCCAAGGCTCTGTTAAGTAGGTCTCTGCTGTCATGAAACCCCGCCGGAGCCGCTTTTGTGAGCGGGGGATTGGCGGCTCTTGCCGCCGTCTCGATTTCGCATCCTTTGGATACCTTGAAAACTCGCGTTGCGATTCAGGTAGACGCAAGAACACATCGTATTAGTGAACCTTGTGAATCTGTTTGTTCTTTGCTTCATCAATTTCCAAATTCGTTTTAACGGGATTGATTTCATGTTTGATTGATCTTTTGCTTACTTTTGGAACTGATTTTCAATCCGAGTATCTAGACAAGTAAAGATCACACGGGAGCTCGGCGTACCTACCACAACATGTGCAGAGATGGCGGCCGTCGATCTCTGTATACTGGACTGTCGGCGTCATTGCTGGTTAGTAGTGATTACTTTGATGATCCAACCTTCCAACTTTGATGTTCCTTTGTCCAATGAGAGTGAAAGGGCGGGGAATTCAACTTCTTTATCTGATCGACTTTAATTATTTATTAACCACTCGAAACTGTTCATTTGCCCATTCATTTCAGCGTGTCGTTCCGTCCATGGCAATAAGTCTTTCCGTATATGAACCTCTCGCCTTTATTTGGCTACTTGTAAGGTACGCAACGTAGTATATGTATGTACGAGATTTTTTTGGATGTACGATTTGAATCTAAATCTCACATATGGGGGGAAATCAATATGTCGGAGTTGCGATTTGGGTCAAGTACCAGGTTCTGTTTTATCAATCATCACATTTCAAATTCGATTTTTTCGGATTCTCTCGTCATTATTTCTTTGAAACTTAGATTTTCTTATTGACATGATCACCATCGTCACTACTTTACAGGCCAGATGATTCTATATTCACGGCCACACTCGCATGTGGTACCATTGCAGGCCTTGCTGCATCCGCAGGTACGTGTACACGTATTGAAGAATCGACTTAGCTTCTAACTATGTCCACCGCATTCCTTAACTATTATCCGATTCGTCAAAATACATCCAACGATATATGCAGCGTTGTGTGCGTCCTTAGGGATATTATCAAACCGAATTACCAAGTGCGTGATCGACTATGTTTGCAGTAACGTTTCCACTCGAGGTTGTGCAAAGAAGGATGCAAATGGAGGACATAAAGGGTTTGGATAGAGCCGGAGGAGGAGGGTTCCGCCGGATGTTTTGGCAAATAGTCGAGAAGGAAGGCGTTCGAGGGTTGTACAGAGCCGGCGGCGGCTTCAAACCTCACTGTTTAATGACAGGGCTTGGTCATGCAGTTGGCTACATGGCTTACGAGATTGCCAAGCAGCCCATAGTTATGTGCAGCAGTACCGTGTTCAATCCCCTCTTGACCTCTTGGGCGGGTAGGTACTGACTAGAACACACAACACATTCAAAACGTTACCGACACAAATCGATCGAGTGGTGTGCTGTAGCGTCGGACTTTGAATCCAGAAATCGCGCATTTTGATGTCTAGCTAGAGCATGCCTTGGATTGGAAGTACATCCTCTTTGCTTCGGGTTCCGCTTTCTTTTTTCCTTTTGGTGAAAATTTGCTTGCACAATCACGTCGTATAAAGGAAAAGCTTACACATTATGTACAAATGAAAGTAGACCGGAGAGAAAGCAATACCCTGTTTTTCTGCACTTGCTAAAATGAGAATCTCTACTACTACCATAACAAACTTTCCTCTCCTCAGTTCATCAAACCAAGAGCAAACACGAAACCGAAACCACGAGCCCTGTTTAGTGGGAGGAAAAGTAGTGGGAATGAATCCATTTGCGCTATGTATTTACCTTGAGGGTGATTTCATGTTTGCCATGCAGAACGATTCGAATCGAGGCTCGGCTATATCTACCACTTCATCATCTGAGGCACGTACGTTTGGTTGACGTGAGGTCAGGAGGAGCAGCCTGTCCATATATTCAGCAGAAACAGTACTGCCATCTCCTCTTTCGTTATCAGTTACTGTGCAGGGCTCTCTGTTCTCAACCACGTGGTCCTCTTTTCGGGGCGAGGAGAGTTTTGCTGACTCGTTCTCAATTGGATCCTCCTCTGAATTGGCAGGATCTTCAGTTATAAGTTCAGTTTTGTCGATGAATGTTTCGTTTTGGAAGCTATGGGCTATGGAAGGCATCTGCATAAGAAGAAGCACTAAGTTTACTTACTTGACACTCAAATAACATGCATCTTATCATCTATTAGCTATGATTCTGAAATCTAATTAAATCAGAGGTATCTTACCTGAAAGAGACTCATTGGGATATTTCTCCTACTAGATTTATCAGGTGCAACGGTAGAAAGGATTTGGACAACCTCGCTCATGGTTGGTCGAGCATCGGGATCCAATAGCAGGCACTCTTTTGCTAGGTAAGCCATTATATGCATCTCTTCTTCTGGGAAATTCCCCTTCAAACGTGGATCGGGCAACTCTGATATCACTCGCTTGCTATCTAACAGCCGCGGGGTTGCCTGCACCGTGTATAAAACATTGACAATCAATTGAGAGGAAGGTTTTTGAAAGTGTAATTTGGTTAATGCTTCGTTCATATGGCAGGGGACCAAATGGTAAGCAGTACAGTAGATTGAAGAGGATCTCATACCCAGAATACAAGGCTTTCTTCTCCTTTGTTCTGCGTTTTATGGATTGGGTGTCGACCGGTGATGAGCTCAAGAAGAACTACTCCAAAACTGAACACGTCAGACATAAGAGAGGCTCTTCCAATCATAGCATACTCCGGAGCAAAATAGCCAAAAGTGCCCTGCATTCTTGCTGGAGAATTGGAAGTGCTTGGAGCTTCATCGCCTCTTAAACATTTGGCCATCCCAAGATCCGTAATCTGCGTATATTGAGTTGTTCCCATAAGTATACACATAGTGACACTCGACATCACACATTCTGACAGAAGACAGATAATAATTAAAATCCAACTCCGCATTTCATTTCATTATTGCCTATTTCGCCTTGATCAATTTTTCAGTTTTGCATCCTTCCACATGATGAAAAGGTTGCAGGGATTAGAGAAACTGTGACTTTTACCTTCGCTCTCCAACTTTCATCAAGCAGGATGTTTGTGGACTTAACATCTCTATGCAAGATTCTGGGGGCTGCTGCTGCGTGGAGATATTCCAAACCCCTTGCTGCTCCTATAGCGATCATAACGCGGATCTCCCAGCTCATATTTTCACCTATAGCTCCATCCAAGCAATCTCTAAGGTTCCCGTTGGGCATGTACTCGAATACGAGTAGCCTCTCAGAATGTTTTCCTTGGAACTCTGAGCAGTAACCAAGCAAAGGCACAACGTGGCAGTGATTGAGTCTGGACAACAGTTCAACCTGAACAAAGAGCAGAAAAGGTTGCTAAACAATATGATAATTTGTAACAGCAACTTCTTCACCATAACAACAAAACCAAGACATACCTCTGTTGAAAAGACCGACTCAAAATCAGGTCCTTTCTGAGATTTGAGCCTTTTTATTGCCACACTTGTACCATCTCGTAGCAGGCCACGATAAACGAAGCTACTTACTCCACATCCTATGAGATTGGAATCTGAGAACTTATCGGTTCCATATTCCAGCTCAGTGTATGAAAAGCGGCTGATGACTCCATAGACGATGTCTTTTTTGTTCCCACATAAGAAAGAAGCCTTGCCAAAACACCCTGGCAAAGTGGGAAATAGAAGGTAATTAGAAACAATTCAAGCTGGAATGATGGTATTGTTTCTCAAAGTATCCTTACCTGAGACAGAATTACTTGAGCAGTTAATGCTAGCCTTGGATTCTGATCCTGAAGAACAGGTTCTCTGACTAATCAAATGAGATCTACTATTAAAACTTGCAAGTCTGTCTGAGGAGAAAGCTGGTGATTCGATAAGGGATTTCTCCCTTCTATAGACATAAAATGTCACAGAAGCAACAAATGCCAGAGTTGTAAGTACAACACATAGTAGTAGAATGATAACGAGGACTCTGCTAGAAATGTGGTTCCTTGGAGTCTGAACTCCATTCAGAGATCCTGCCACACACAAAAAATACAAATGGCCCTGAGCAAGCGAACTAAATAATCTCGAGAAAGATTAAAAACAGAGTAATCTATTGCAGGAAAGCATAAGGATTTTCAGGATTACCAATAGTGCAATTACAGGCCGTAAAACAGGTTTCTTCATGACTGACATCAGCTATTCTCGGAAGTCCATCCGCTGGACACATGCACGTCCACATTTTCCCATTTGATCCTCCACTGGCTGGATAAGAAGTTTGTTTCAGATAAGGTGTTAGAGTGATGCTAACCATCCGTTACATTGATTATTCTGTTACCCCAGCATACCTTGATTGCAATCGCAGGAGTTGGAGCAGTTAGAGCTAATATAACTCTGGTTTCCTGGATATGGCAAAGAACAATCACACGTCCAATTTCTTGTGCCTGATGTTGGGGCAAGTTGATCTGCATTAACAATCAACTCCAATCAAACTTCCACGCATTTGTGTACATGGCACAACTGACATTTTGCACCACATATAGGACCTCTTAACACTTGAAATTATGTGTGATTGTACCACATTGCACAATCTCTTACTTATCTAAGAGATTAGTTATATATACATCATGAAGTAACTTTACAAGTTACGAGCCTCGCTATCACCGTAGATGACTAATACAACTAGAGTACTATTATTACCTTAAACTATAATAATGCTTTCTTTCTCCAAGATTATAACTATACCAGTCAGGTAGCAGAGGAAATTACGTTTGTATATTCAGATGAAAGCCCGGATAGCCAAGAAATGAAACGAAGACCAATACTTACCACAATAACCTCTGGGCAACCAAATGAAGGCTATCAGACAGACAAACACAACTTCTAAGGGGATCTTCATTTGTTTCAAAACTGCCACGAAATATACAATAGTTTGCTATTAAGGACTAACAGAGAGTAAGGGAACGGTAAGGAGTTCCTACAGAAACAGAGTACTTCACCAAAGACTAAGATACTGAAACTAATAAAAGTAAGAACAAGAAAACAGATGGACCCACAAAAATACCTTCATTAGGTGCAGTAGTTGTGTCCTCAAACGCCCTCGTTCTTAAACCTCTGATCTGAACGAAAGTCGCAACCTTTCCAGCTGAAAATGGTGGGACAATCAAGTTAGGGGAAGAAAGAAAGGAAAAAGAATGCTACAGTTTGCACGGTTTGAAAAGCACAACCCAGAGACGTAGAATGCCAATTTACCCATATCACTATATCAGGGTAATCAACACTTGGTCAGAACTGGTAAGAAACTGAAAGCCAAAAGGTTTGGAATTACAAAAATTCTACTTGAGTAAGCAGCTCCAAACAATAGAAACGTGTAGCTTCACAGTAGGCCAACCAACATCATAAATTTCTTTTCAGTTTGTTCCTCCATTTGATGCAACTTTTATTTTAGGCAGGCCAATGCAATAAACTCTACAGTGCCAGATAGCGCTCAAATATAACACCACCATGACAGAATTGCCACGAATAATGTTGTATGCACAATGCTATCATCTACAGTTGTAAGAAGGTAACAGCTAGAAAGAAAATGAGGCCTAACTACAGGGAATAAATGCAAAAGTTCCGAAAGAAACAAAGATGAGTAGGCCTATCATCCATTTAATTCAAAAGATTGAAATTGTATTATCGATTATGCACATCAAAATCATTAAGACCCCGTGGTGAGAAAGGAAAGCAACCCATTTGGAATGAAGACACTGGTATTAATTAAAAGCAAATGAATGAGACCCACCTAGATGAACAGCTCTAACTTGCAGAAGAAAGGTTGAGTATCAGGAACTTCAAAGACCCACCTGCTTCTGCAACGTTCTTGTACCGCAAAACCCAGAGTCCTAACATTTGGGGATAAAATGACCATTTTATGAGGGAAGAGCATCAGACATTGACTTCCATGAGCTGGACAAAATATCATTGAAAAGATAGTACGAACCAACGAGATTCTCACTGACTTCACCAACTGAGACCCTGAAGTCTCAAAACACAGGTGGTGGTGTGATTGAATTGAAAGCTAACCTAAGGGAAGATAGTAAACAATCCCATGAAACCCATACCTAAGAATATTTTTTCTGTAACGGGCAAAACCAATCACAATCAACACCATTAAGAATCATTTGCTGAGAAAGTCCAAAAATGAGAAAATTAGAAATGGGGGAAAAGAAGGGAGGGTGGAAATGCCACTTTGACAGCAGGGAGCTGCAAGCAATGGTAGGTAGAGACAAGTGGATGCCGTTTTGAAATAGAGCCATATCAGGCCAAGATAGAGGTTATGATTAACAAGGATTAAAGAAGACTAATAATACCACTCGAGAACAAAAAACAACCCATCAACCACCACCTACAGAAGAAAGCAACAGATTTGCGAACAGAGAAAATGACCCGCCACCCATTATACCATTAAACTTCCCTATTCAGCCACAAGCTTGTATGCTCTAGAATGGAAACCAAACCACCATATCTCCCAATGATTTTCGCTCTGGTCCAAAGAGAAAAACCTTTGTGCTGTTGTTCATGCACCTGGTGTGGTGACAATAACCATCTCCCAATGACCCAAAGATTTCTTTTTTCCCCCCTTTTATCCGTTCCAAGTCATATAAAACCACAAAATGGACTAAATTTTCTTACTTGACATAGCTAGTAATTGTAACTTGACTGGATCCGAGCCTCACAATCTCATCATTGGTTTGGTTGGGCGACTCCAAATATTGGCACTTTTTTAAAGCTCGGGCATCTTGGAGGAACGCCAATTTACAACTACAAGTTGAAATTAAAAAAAAAAATTAAAAGCAAAGCATTGCGCCAAAATTAAATTCGCCTGAACACTTGGCTTCAAAGACAGATCACAGGCGACGTACCGACGTAGTAAAGATAGTATTTCTATATCTAATGCTAACGTCGCGCCACAAAGAAGGGCCCCAGGATCCCAGCGTGTCGGATGGCTACAGACGGTGGGTCTCGGTCATATACAACAACCGCCGAAGGCCCAGAACTTGCCGCCCCGATCCGGCCCAACAGTCGCTATACCATACCGACACCGGCAGGATCGCGAACGAATCAATTAGACAATTATCAACCATTAATGACTAATTCCGAGTTTTCAGTCCCGAGAAAAGGAATTCACCCTAAAAAGCAGCTGAGAATTGATAGCGAAAAATTGAAGAAGGATAAGGATGACTTGAAGAGATCAGAAATCGCGAATCCAGAGTTGGCCGTCGATTTGGATTCTTCGACGAAAGGGGGGAAAATGGAAACAGTGAGAGATTAGAGAAAGTTGAAGCAAACCTCAGCCAGCAGCTGGAGGAGCTTCGTAGCTACGAGAGTCGCCAGATGGTTTTGAAGTTGCTGCCTCCGTCGTCTCCGCGTCACTCCTTCCTCCGATCGAGCTTCACTATTCTTTGCGCCGCCGACCGGCTATTGGAGACGGCGGACAGCTCCGGCCAGCAGCGGGAAGGCGATAGCTGGCTGATTGAGAGTAGCTAGACCAATGAAGTACTCGTCGATCGAGCGGGAAGATTGGAGAGAATGTCAGGGTTTATATAGAAATAGATCGCATCCGACATTTTTGCTGATTTCGAATTGGGATGGAGGGAAGCAAAGGAACAAAGTGAGAATTGGGGGAAGAAGAAGAAGAATAAGAAGAAGAAAAATGAGAGCAGCTCGTTTCACTGATGACGAGGTGGAGACTAGGGCGACGAGGGAGAGAGCGGTGGTCCCCATTGTCTAGGAGCACGTGGCGGTCAGGTGGAGCTAATTCTGGCCGTTGATTTCAGGCTTTAATACGATCAGGAGCCGTTGATTTTCTGCATAGTACGGTCGGAATTAGTTTTTTGAAGTTCGGGGCGTGGCGCGGTATTCTAGGGCTGCGACTGGCTTTCTTTACCTATTTAGATTTCTCACGGCACTTTTGCTTTTTTTCATTTTAATTTTCCGCGCCACTGAGGCTGGATGGTAAAAATACCCATTTGGTACTAAATACGATTAACTTCCAACTAAAGATATCGTAATAAATACAGGTTTGGTTCAGATTCAAATCGAACTAGCCTAGGTTCAAACTTCAAATCACATATATAAGGAGAAAATGAAGACTATATTAGAATCCATCGTAGGAAGTCGGAACCGATACTGACTTTGTTTAGTCCGTTCATAGATGTTTATCTTGATCTTTGATTTGATAGTTATACTATACGCATTGAAATTATCGACAACAATGTCAAATTATATCGTAATATGTTATCGAATCCACAATATGAGCTCGATGACTCAAAAGCTCTCCTCTTTCTTCTCTAACCGCCGTATTGTTAAGCTGTTTGGATTGCCATGATTTTTTATGATGAATTTTATATTACCGATTAGTTCATATAAAGAGCATTTATGCAATGAGTTACGTCAACAATGTGTACTGTTTAAATTGATCGAAAGACAAAAATATGAATTGTTATCGTGTGGCCTAGAGTGACATGATTTTGTTGTCCTCTCTAAATGTTTTGCCCTCAGTGTATCATAGTATTTCCATACATGCTAGTACGATCAACCATAACTACATTGATAAGCAAAGCTAAATGTACATCCTCAGTCAAACTAAACTAGCCAAGAGTATTGCATAGGGTTGTAGGTTTGGTTAATCGAACCCCAACTATTAAACAACCAAAAATCAAACTACTATGTTTCTCGAAAATCTAAATCCTACATCCCAATTAAAAAAAAATTCCCTACACCCTCAACTACTATTTTTTCAGTTTTGATTTCTTATTTTCAGTATAAATCGAAAACGATAGAAACCAATTTGGTACATATTACTCGAAACCTATATAGACTTTGCCGGTTTGGTTTCCATTTCAACCGAAACCTATATCACAATCCTAATATAGAACTCCAACTTTGTCACGCCCTCTATGCATGCTAAAAGTTCCAAAATGAAAACCCAATGTAACTCTAAACACATGTTTGGGCTGAAGCCTAAATCAAAGTTAAGTCACACATTTGCAATGAACAAGTGGTACTAATATTCCCACCGTTGAGTCCCTCCCCATTCCACCTTTCTTACACATACAGGAATTTTAGTCTCTCTTCGACAAATCATCAAAGGCTACATTGGATGGCTTGGTACTAATACAATTTTGGGGCAATTTAATTCTCCTCACTTATCTTATTTGAATCATTGCATATGTAAAAAGTGGGGTCTGGTTATTAGTCCACAAATTTTATGTTGTTAACGGGCATCCCTAACTTGGAATAGGTGGCATCGGTAAGATTTGGTAAATTTAGTGCTATTGAACTCATGAACACGGAGCTACAGATGAAGAGAGAAGGAGTGGGTAAGCCTTCGTTACAGAGTAAGTTAGAGAAAGAAGGACTGTAGATAATTGTTGGGTTGGCAAGTAGCTGGAGATGTCTACAAAGAACAGTGTTATGTAAAAATATTATCAGATTATTACTTTTATGTTTTGCTTCGGGCCTAGTGGCTTAGGTACAGGCAAACGCTTGTGATCCTCTATTGGGCTTTAGAAGGATCTTGCAAGTATTTCGTAGACTCGGATTCTTTTTCACTTAGTAGATTATAGTTGTGATTTGGATCGACTAATGAAATGGATGCTCACTAATATATAAAACACCCGAGAGTTTGATTACTAAATCAATAACCTTCTATTCCAACATCAACGGCAAAGAGAGACCGCCCGTATTAACTTAACAAAAAATAGGCCGAAAAGATGAAAACCAAAGCAAGTAAAACACAAACTACACAGAGGGGACTCGTGGGCTCCTCCTTGGGCTATAACTTGCCTTCGCATTTCCTCCTCCAATGCTCTTAAGCTACTCAATCAAAACCAGTCAATTTCATCCACCTACTATATATACAAATACCTCGGAATTTCACAATTCACAAAGCCATAATCCCAATAACCACAATCTTCACAATGAGAAAAACCAAATCACTTCATCCCTCCACTCTCGTGATCAAAACCTCCCTCTCCTTGTTCTTCGCCCTCTTCTTGGGCCTAGCCAGGCCCGACCCGGACCCGCTCCAAGACTACTGCGTGGCGGACCAGAAACCTCCCCAGGCCCAGTCCGTATTCATCAATGGAGCCGCCTGCATCAACCCCAAACTAGTAGTTCCATCCCACTTCGCCACTTCTGCACTCGGCAAGCCGGGGAACACCAGGGCCAACGCCTTCAGGTTCAACGTGACTCTAGCCAGCATTGCCAACTTGCCCGGGCTGAACACCATGGGCCTGACCATGGCCCGCGTCGACATCGGGCCGAATGGGCTTGTTCCTCCTCACGCACACCCGCGGGCCTCGGAGGTCACCATCTGTCTCAAGGGGAGCCTCCTGGTGGGCTTTGTGGACACTACGAACAAGCTGTTCACCCAGCAGTTGCGGGCCGGTGATTCCTTTGTGTTTCCGAAAGGGCTGATCCATTTCTTGTACAATTTGGATTCTGGGAGTGAGGCCCTGGCGATTTCTGGGCTCAGTAGCCAGAACCCGGGGGCCCAGATTGCTTCCCTGGCTACGTTCACTTCCAAGCCTCTGTTGCCCGACGTCGTTCTGGAGAAGGCGTTTCAGATCACTGGGCAGGATGTGATGAGGATACGCAAGAATCTTGGAGGATGATCGAATTTGTATGAATTTGATTTAAGAAAAACAATTTATTATTGTTTTCTGGATTTTTTTCAATATTGTGTTATTCATGTGTCTATATTTATTTTGTGAAAGTAAAAGGAAATGTGTTTTGAACTTTGGTTGAGGGCTCGAGGCTTTTGTCAACAAGAAAATGATTTACGCCAAGTAAGAGTTTGATCAAGGGGTAATTACTAGTGACAGAAGTTTGGAATTACAGTGAGGAGGGGTGGAAGATAACTAATGACAATCGATTTTGACGATTGAGTCTCTAATGGAGGAGAGGGACTGATAACTCCCATCCTACAACTTTCTATGATTTCTCGAAATATGAATACACAACCTTAGATACAAAATTAAGTGACGTTGTACCCTTCTGAACTACACGTAGCTCCACTTTTGAGCTTTACAGTTGATTACATTGTCAACAATCACAGCAGCTTATTGCACTATTGTCCATCTCGTTGGTGATTGCACTGTCAACAATTGCAGCAAGTATCTCATCTTTTGTGAACTACGTTCTATATTATGCAATGAACATGTACCACTGTTACAATGCAAAATCAAGTGGATCAAAATCGAGAATAACGCCAACTAAGAGTTATGTTCTCATATCTTGCTCCAACTGCTTAGTTGACATTGTGGCATTAGAAATGACCTACAGCTACAGATGTTTTCTCCTACAGAGAGTAAGCAGTTCTTATGGTACTTCTGCACCAGAGGTAACCAACAGCTCAATCTACTAGGAAATTTGCAGTCTGAATACTATGAAGTGCAAGCAAACCATGAAGAAAACAAAGCCTTCGAAGAAAGGAATAAAAACATCAGTCATTGATCTGACTACCCTAAACCCCAGCAAATTGACCATTTTGATATGATATCCCTGCACTTACACTTGCTTTGCCACCATCAAGTACCCAAATACTGGGAAAGCAAAACAGATGATGATTCAGTAGTTCTCTTCTCTTAATTCTTATATACATCATTTGTCATCTCAATGAACGAGACCTTAAGAAACCCCATCTCCATCCCAACCATAACTACCTCCTACCCATTTTCTCATTTCTCCCAGCTTTCTTATTCATTTACAAGTTCATACCAATAAGAAGAAGAAAAATCAACCCCATAAGCAAAATCTAGTAAGCAGAGTAGTAATATCCTAGCCCTGTCTCTCCTCCCACCAATCCCCCCGAGTTCCCAATTCACCACCACAGAGAACAACAAAATTCGAAGTAAAAAAAATAAAAACCCCAAAGAACAAATAGAAAAAAGCCATAAGGTTATATCTATATAACGTTAAAGAATCCAGATCAGAAGAATAATAAAGGTTTCACTTATGCCAACATCCCAAGCTAGAAGAGCTTAGCTTGTTACCTCGGCTCCACTGTTGTAGCTGGGAACGAGAGTGTTGGTCGTAGCCTTCTCTGAGATGACGAAGAAGAAGAAGATGCTGATGGATTCCCCAGGATCATGGTCTGAGAACGTGTTACCATATCCACCATTGAAGGAGTCTGGTAAGACTGCACCAAGCTCGTCCCGCCTGTCGAATCCCCCCTTGTTGTTGCTCTCTGCCATGAGTGAGAGCTCAGCCCCGACAACACATAAGCTCTTCCTGACGTCTCGTACACTTGACGGTTGGCCATCCTTTCCTGCATCTCCCTCAGCTCAGAACACAACGCTCCACATGGTCTATCACCCGCCCTCACAGAAGCAGTCTCGCATAATTCCTTTCGACAACTCTCCAACACGGAAACAGCTCGAGACAAATCGCCATTCTCAGCTGCGGATTGAGCTTCAGACATAGCTTTGGCCGCATGTACCCTGTTCTTTTGCCTGTCCACTTCGATGGACACTTGTTGCTGCAGTTCCACATCTACTTCAGGCCTCTGGATTTTCACCGGCTCGGATCCTTCTAAATTCACAGTTTCCTTGGTAATGGAATCCTTGTAGATGCACTGGACATCTAGGAGCAACAACAACTCATTACCCGATCGATTGTCCACTGGAATATCCATTGTAACCAAGATATCCCTTTCTTCTTCAGCATAGAGATCTCCGACCTCAATCGACCCTGTTCTTGCATCAACTGATTTGCTACTTGTGTAGCTTCCTGCATTTATCGACTCAATTTGCAAACTTGGGTCAACACAATTGACTATGACTAGCAACTCCTGGGCCACAACACTTAACAATCCACCGATGCACTGAGCAAATGCATCTTGGATCATTGCTTCAGCCTCTATGAAGGAAAAGGTTCCACCTGATGTCTCAGCAATCGAATGCATGGCAGCAGCATCATGATCCACACCAAACCCAAATGTATGTACCGGAATCCGTACGCTAGGAAGGAGTGATTTGTAATCTGGGCGAACCTTTTTTCTACCAAGACCGGCAAAAGTATATGTATCCTGGCCATCTGAGAGTAGAATGATGCTGCAAACTGGATTCTTCCACTTGCGATCCAAGAGCACCTTGGCACCTTTCCTTAACCCTTCAGCAATATCAGTCCCACCATTGGATACCAAATAGTTGATAGCTTGTAATGCCTCCCGCTTTCCGCACTCAGTCATGCAACGAAGAGGGAATAGTCGACGAGCAGATGAAGAGAATACAATTACAGAGAGCCGGTCAGTTGGCCCGAGATGTTGAATCACAAACCCCATAGCTTGTTTCAGCAATGCAAGCTTTGTGCCAGCCATGCTTCCACTTGTATCGAGCACTGTAACAAGATCAATCGGAGCACGAGATTCTTCCAATATAGAATCTCTCCTCCCTATTTCCGACATAGGTGGAGCCTTGAGATGAATCAACACAGAAAAATCCTTATGAGAGGCAAGTTTGGAAACCGCTGGAAATTCAGGATACGTTCTTATCTCCATTGATCTTCTTCCACCAATACTTGCATCACCATTTGCCACCAAACATCTCTCAGCAAAGCTAGATGAGAGATTATCATGATCTTGTACGGGCTCATCATCATCATAGGCAGCCGGTTCAGGAGTGTGGAGACGATGTGTTGAAACGTGGTGGTTGGTATCTGCACGAGGTGGAGGCACCCGTCTTATTATATTATTCATCCAAGCGTCATCATTCGGCTGCCTAGGCCGACCCAAACTGTTGATTCTAGGTCTTCCATGGAGATTATCGGAGTTTGGGGACTGGAAAGGAACTTCTGTCCATTTTGCTCGGCATACTGGACAAATTTGGTTCCCGTGCTTGACGTTAGAGGTAATGCACTGGAAGTGGAAAGAATGGGAGCATTCTGCCGTGAATATGGCCTGGCCTTGTCCTGCCTTCATACTGGTTAGGCATATTGCACATGTCCTCTACAATGAATGGAAAAAAGGAAGTCAATGAGTAGACGGCATGATAAGCACCAAATTCAGTAAAGTCAACCAGTAGAATGAAAGTATCGTATCTGGAAGTGGTTTTCACATTATGGATACAATTAAATCTTTCAAATAAGAGGTTTAATTCAGCGTTCCTAATATCATTCCAAACTACTGAAAACAAAATGAAAAGGGACAAATGCACAAAGACAAGAAGCAGATAACAACCAGTCAAATTATCCAGTTAAGCACGAAAGTGACTATTACAAGCAGAAAAGTCAGCAAATGAAACGAAAAAGAGGTCAAATATCAGGCGGTCAAAAATCTAGCAAAGGACAGATTAGTGCCGGATTATTATTTTATACCAAGGCACAGACTTTTCAAAAGCAAAAGGGATAACAACAACGTATATGCGCAAACCACTGATTTTTAAGACTAAAAAATGGACAAGCAAGCATCCAGAAAAAAATAAAAGAGGGACAGGTAAACAGCACAGAAAGAAAAGCATAATCAAGAGAATGGACTTTGCAGTTTGCTCCATCCACTTCTATTCCTCCTGGTTCATTTCTCTTTTCCTGAATCCAGCATATAAAAAAGCTCCCAATCAACGGACCACAGTCTTTTTTGAACTACTACATGAAAAGCAGAGAGATACACAGAAAGTGTGTAGCTCAGGGTTCTGTGTGGAGTGTGGATGGATCATTGGATGGATGCAGTTTCATAATTGTGGGGGTTTGAAGAGTGAAGTTAGTGCTGACCAGATAAAGCACACTTTTCTCCAATCAAGGGAGAAAAAGGGTAGAGATAGGGAATGGTACAGTACTAGCAAATGCTGCCTGTTGCACAGAGAGAATAGTTGGTGGTTTAGAGAGTAATGGTTTCCAAATAAGCCAAAGTGGAAACTGGTCCTCAAAAGGGACTCCTCCACTTTAACCACACTCCCAAATTCCACCATCCTTGTTCATCATCAACCTCACAATGAGCACACAATAGAAAAGAGGAACTGAGAGTAACATGGCAAGTTGACAACTATTCCCCACTCCCCATCAATAACTCTTCAGAGATACACACCACCTACCATCATTACCCATTTTGACAACCAGTTTAAGATGGAGGAGTGGCCACGTTCTGTGGATTCTAATTCCAAATGGCACTGCTAAAGTTCTAAACTTTACATTGAAACTCACCTAGGAAAAGAATGGGAAATTTGAAGGGCGTTAATAAGGGTCGGATTAATCTAAGCGATTTCAGTTCTGAACCTACATAATATGTTTTCAGAGTTAAAAGACCGACAAATTACACAGCCACTGACACACACAAAAAATCCACTTCAACCAAGATTTCTGATAAACTGATCATGGAAAACAATTCACCTATGATTCTATGCAACCCAACAAACAAAGAAAAAGATAACTAATTTGGTTGGACTCTGCAGTAATATACCTTTCCAGACTTAGAGAGAGGGCCGGATTTAGACAGGCGGACGGAAGAGGACGACGGCGTGGGATTGGTGGACGGCGTTTGATTGGTGGAGCTCCGCGGAGGCAGCCCGGTAGACGGCGATGAAGAAGCGGCAGCGCCGGAGATGTTACCAGACCGACGTGATGATGAGGAATGCAGCTGCCGTGGCCGGCGGCGTTCGCCCTCTTCCTGTTCTTCTCGTTCTCTAGTTTGAGGAGCGTAGAAACAGCTCGGAAAGCCTAATGCCATTTTCACCTTCCGCCATCTGCTCCCTCCAACCTGCTGCTTCAGATCCACCATTGGTAAAACCCAAAAAAAGGGAAAAACAATACGCCCACTCTCAAGCTCACTCAACCCGGGATTATGGTGACTCTGCTCTCAGATATCCAACACCACCGCAAGAAAGCATCGCCATGATTTTTGTGGGTTTCTGTAAGGAAGAACAGATACGGAAAGGGGGAAGAAGAAGTTTGGTAGGTTTTTTCTCAGAAGAGAAAAACAGGCTGTTCAGTAGGCCGTAGAGGAGATAGACGAGGGCAGAAATGGAAATATCTAATTTCTGGAAAAATAAATTTCCGTCCCAATCCCAACTGTGTCAAATAAAAATTATAAAGCACGAAATAAAAGGCAAAGGGTTGGGGCTTTTATAGTTTTGCGGCTTTTGCCAGTGTCAGTATTTCCGTCTTTGCCCGATTCGACCTTCCGGTTTTATGTTTATTACAATCTTTGCCACCGGACGGGCGCCTTCCCGCGTGTTAATTAATTGGGGGACTCCAGCTAGGTAACCGCTGATTAAAGCATTGATCAAGTTAATTAATTAAAGCTTAATCTCTCCCACGCATATATTTCAGGCTCATACTTTTTCTCATAGTTAGTAAAATACGGTACGGGAAAGTTACGTAAAAGATACGTACGGGCATTATATTTCATCTTTAAGCTAAAATTACGTTTAATAGTACGTTAATAGTCATAAATATATAAAATTAATCATTTTAAAAATAAATAAATATATAAATAATAGTAAAGTTAATAATTTAATTCGTAAAATACGGATAATAAATGTGTTATACGGGTTTTATACGTGTTTAGTACGGGAATCATGAAATGAACGGGGGAAAATGAAACGGCTTGACAATAATACGGATACGGAAGTTTTAAACGGATAAAGTACGTACGGGTACATATACGTGTATTAAACGGAGTATTTACTAACTATGCTTTTTCTTCATTGAACAAATCTTTCTCATATGGTTAATTGTTACTAATTTACTATCATGAAAAATAATATGCATGCCTTGAATGCATTATGAGCTTTTTGCGATGATTTGGTAGTTTAGTTTGCAAAATATAGTGACTTTTTGCGGTGGTAAAATCCCAGAGAGTAGTCAATGTAATACAACTTTGACAAGAAAAAATAACACTTCCCACATTTTGATCCACAGCACATAAGGATAGGATACATTTACATCCATCTAACAGAAAGGAGATCCTTTCAACTCGAGTTTACGACGAATTTGATGACAGCAATTTGATACCTAATCAACAATGGTGAGATGAAGTGGAGTTGCTGGAAAGGAGCTGAAATAGAAGAATATACACATTCCAGAACTATGACATAGTAGCTACATCAGAACTGTTCAGAAGAAAGATGTACAGCTGAGGAACTCCCTGCAAATGTTAAATCAATCAAGTCTTCCCATCCGCTTCTGACTCTTAAGGTTAGATGAAAAAGACAAGGTGTCATGTAACACCGTCTATTCAATCATCGTTGGACCAACAAACTCCGTTGTTTTGCTGGACAGGGTTTGCAGCTGCTTGAGGCTGATGCGGGGGAAGGGCAGTCAAAGTGGAAAGGACAGTGGAGACACGTTGGCTTGGCAATTGCATCACTTGAGAAGTTAGGAGTGGGAACTGGTGCCGCCACCGCTGCCATAGATGCTGTTGTAGGTCTAAGACCTTAAGGTGTGGAGGAGGCGCTCGATTCTGGTCATCGATATGAAGATTATTGGTGCTGGAAGGTGGAGTTTATATTAAGTGGCCTTAATTGAGAGCTTGAGAGAGGTCGTGCTGTGGACTGTAGAGTGATGAAGAACAGCTTGTGCCCTAGAGGTGGTGGTTGTGGAAGGAGAAGGTAAAGCACTGGCAATCTGCCGAATACCTCCAGTTGGGGCCCCAGCCAGCATCAAAGGGCGAGAAGGAGCAGCAGAAGATCAGAGTCCTGAGCATCCTTGCGTAGGCAGTGAAGCCATCTGTTGCAATTGCTGCATGAAAGTGGAAGCAGCATCTGCCAGGGGGGATGGAAACAAGGGATAGTTAGGAGTCCAGTATGATGGATTGTATAGTAACCTACCTGAGCAAGATTGGTTCCCAAACAAACTGTGGAATGGACATTTAAAAGATGGAACTGCTTTCCCATTATGCGTATTGTGTTCTCAGAGGTTCAGCAAGAGCAATCCTCCTTTCCAAGCTCTACTGGCTTTTTTTTTAACCACTGACTAGCATAAGTGATTTTTTATTCTAGCTTTCAAATTAGCTTAAGTTCCTCAGGCTTCTCTCGACTTCCAGAGACTAATTACCTTATCTAGAATCCTGAATTTGCTACATGCACTTTCTACAGCAACCTAAGCATACCAGTCAGATGGACAGCTTTTCTTAGACGTTCTTCAGTCCACGAGTAACTTATATCTCACAGAAGTCACCAGAACATAAAAAAACTCTCTACGAACAATGTTGGGCACGATTTTCCTATTTCATGCATTCTCCTGATTATGCCATGTATGATGCTACTCATAATAAGCAAACTAACAAGATAAACAGCCAATGCGCTTAAGACTTAGTAGAAGAACAATCAGTACCTACATTGCATAACTCCAGGCGAATTACATGCCCTGATATCCATGAACTTGGACCTGAAAGCTTCTGCCAGGATCCTGTTCAGTAGGATTTTATTATGATTTGCATCCAGTTCAAACTTACTAAGCACATATTCAGGAAAGACGAGGAATGTACGAGTGTGTACTTTAAGGAGATAGAACAGAGCTTCCTAATATATAAAATGCTGCAGTGAAGATTGTACCAAAGACATACTATAGCCTACACCTATTTCCCATTTTTATGATGTTTTTAGGTTGAAAAAAATCATTATCCCTTTCCAGCTGACTGCTAGACTGTTTCTAGTACTTCTCTCTGCGTAGTATAGTTTTTCTTCGGATAGACAGAGGGCTGTCAAATGAGTTTTGTTTTTGCCCATTTGTACATATACTGCAGCTGCAATGGGGAGATAAGATTTTGTAGCGTGAAAATGCTTCCCCACATATCAATGCTAGACACTACAAAATATAGAAAGCAGAAGCCAACATAAAACAAAGTACTTATCAAGATTACCTGTTCGTCAAGAATGACAGCATTTGTTCCTTTGTGCCAGTAGCCACTCAGATTGTTCACGGCATCCAGATGATGATAGTCTAAACCAGGGCCAAGTCCAGCTGGTAAGCATGAGACTTTCGCCAGTGAACCTTCAGCAGTAGCCAATTTCTGGCAGTAATGATTAAATTTATCAGCGCATTAGGTATGGGTAAATTCACATGCTGCCTTACCATACTCTAGAACAAATCCCACTGAGAGCAACAATGCATCACCAAGTAGAACATTGCTTCTGAGAAACAGTATAAAGGTAGCAATATCTAAGCACTGTCCCTCACGCATCCTATGTTAAACAGAGACAGATACACAAAGAAACTAACTGATACAAGAAGATTCAAAGAAGTCACCGCTCTCGAACTACTGGAAATTTCAGACCCTGAACACAGTCCTGCTATCTATGTATGTTTTGTAGGTTCCTTATGAAGCTCAGCATTAAAGAATTTACGTATAGATCTTCTAGAGGATTTCAGATTTAATTAAATGAGAACCACGAAGATGGAGATTGCTAATTATCTTGATGGAGCTTGATAATGATCTTGATGGAGGATGACTTGGCAGCCTATTTCTGCATACTATGGATGGCTTCAAGTTGAAAAACAGAGAGGCAATAAAACAAGGAAGAAGTAGAGGTCAGCAGGGAGTCGAGGCTCCACTGTCACCAGTTGAAAAGCAAAGTAAAAGGAACTACAGTTTCATATCCTTCTCCAAGAACAAGAAAAACAAATACTTGAAGGGCCCTTTTCATCAAGAACACACGTAGTTCCACTAGTAAGTAGTAACCATTGCAAACAAAACCAAGAAAGAGCGAGATGGATCTCTTCTTAAAGCAAGAGGGACAAGTTTACAACACATTGTCAAAGCGTATCACACCCATGCAACATCAAAAGTAGACTAGTAACATGAGAAGCGACTATTCTCAGTTCAAAGACATAGCCGTAGCCACAGCTGTTAGAAATGAGTAGCTGGAACACCTGTGTTTCTAGAGGCTAATTCAAATGATTCAGGCAAAAGACCAATTTTGCTAATGATGCTTCTCATTTCTCATCAATAGCAGGAGACAAAATTACATTATCAGATCTTTATGGAAACAACAGAAATGTGAAAATAAATACCTCTGCCTCTTAATGCCTCTGGCACAAGTATCCAACGTGCAGTTCTCTTGAGAGTGATCTTGCAGTGAAACTGCAACGGAAAGAGAGATGCTGGCATCTTTATTTGAAACCATTGCATCTGCGGCATCTAGATTAGCTTCATTTATTTTTCGTTTAGACAAGGAGTTGTCTTCATCAGTTATTGTCTTCCAAAAAAGTATCTCCAGGATGCATATGTTCACATCTCCCGGAAACATCATTCAACTGCTCAGCACTTGCTTCTGAAGATGGAAGGATTTTAGAATCAACTGAAAAAATAAAAGAAACATCAATCAGGAGACAGCTGAACAGGTGCAGCTGGAACAAAATGACACAGATTCTCAACATATTTACCCTCATAAGCAAGCAATTGAACAGAAGAAGGGTGGAGGTCAACATGGGAGAAGCAACGTAGAGACAACAATTTAATGAAGCAAAAACATTTGTAACTACCTTCTGCAGTAACTTTGTGTTGCTTCTTGAAAAATGCTTTGTACGCGTGTGCGCTAAATCTCTGCCTCGGCTTTGAGCCTTTGACAACTTCCCCTCACAACTGCTGACCTCTTTGGTATCAAGGGTCAACTTACCATGCTCTTCTTTTTTTTGGGGATAGTCGAGAGTCTCTTACTCCTATCAGAACGTTTTAACAGACCTGAAGTATTCTTCTTCACGGTGGCCTAAAATTTTCTCTTACTGCTTCTGAAGTCTCCCAGACTTCCCATTACTTGGTAGGCTCGGTGTTGTATCTTTCTTCAATGATCTCTCTGACCTTCTAAGTCCAGAAGCAGATGGTGTTGCACAACCAGGACTAGGTGAGGACTTGCCAGTAGGAGTCCTTTCCGAATTGCTGCTTTCCTTGACCTTAGACCCACGGCTAGTTCGAGTCTCTAATAGCCATTCCCTACACTCTAAAACAAAAATGCAACGTCAAGAGGACTTGAGCTCATGGGTAGTTCACAATTACAGTACGAAGAACTCAATGCTAACTCCCACCATCAAGCAGTTTTCCTCCTTATCCCTCTCTACGGTTCAGAAGAAACGGCAAATGAAGGTCTTTCACTCTTTACCCCGCAATTAGCATCGTTTACAATTTCTGCGTGTAAATACGAACATGTCTTATGTTTGTCTTTCACTCTTTTTGGGTGTCAAACAGTAAAAGAAAGTGGAGGTCAAACAGATGGGAAGCAAAGGCGAAAGCGGTGTAGTCGGTTCCGCCATTTTATGGCAGTATGGGAATGAGCTTTTGTCGTTTCTCAGTTCCACCCGTCGCTATACCTCATAATTGTCATCAGGGTGATACTTCAGAGCAAATTCAGGTACACAAATTTGATTTCAACCTGCTATCCCGAAAGTGACACTACCCGAATTTCATGAGACTCCATACAGTTTAAGTGTCCACAATGAACAATCTTAATCTCAACTCCAACTACAGCCAGGCATTTTCTTCATGCCTCTGTCACAGATCAGTTTGCGCACAACTACTGCACCATCCCAATTATCACTTGTTTTCAACATATTTGATAGCATGATGTATGTTGAACTATCATTGGGCCATATATCTACAAGCTTTCTGGCAGAACGCTCTGCAACTTCCATATTACCATGTACTAAAGACGCACTAAGCAGAGCCTTGTAGACTGTGGAGCCAGGTTTTAGTGGTATGTTGCTGACAAAAGTTTCTGCTTCTTTTATGTATCCAGCTCGACCAAAAATATCAACAACGTTAGCATAATGCTCTAATGTAGGGGGGCCAACTGAAACATCACTTTTTAACAAATCGAAGTACTCGAGGCCCTGATCTACAAAACCAACATGGCTACAGGCAGACAGCACCACAAGGAAAGTGGTAGCATCTGGTTTTGTCTTGCTTTTTCTCATTTCTTCGAATAATTCCACGGCTTCCTTACCATATCCGTGATGTGCACACGCTGTTAGAAGCGAGTTCCATGAAACGACATCATGTTTTGGCATCGACCAGAATATTCTTTTGGATTCGTCAATAGCACCACATCTTGCATACATGGAAACAAGCCCATTCTGCACATGCAAACTTGAAGCATACCTAGTCTTGGAAATGAGAGCATGAACCTCTCTTCCCTCTTCGAGGAATGAACTACTCCCAATCACTCCCACCAAACTAGTAAATGTATAGAAGTCACCATCAGTCCCTGCCTGCCTCATTTCACAGAAACATCTGAAAGCTTCCTTTTCACATTCTAGATTGCAGTAGCCAGCAATCACGGCATTCCAAGATACCTGGTCCCAAATTGCAACACCAGAGCATGCCTTTACGAATTCTTCCAGGCTACGACTACATTTCGAATAGACAGTCACAAGTGTTGCTGTAATATACTCATTAGACTCTAAACCTTGACGAATTATACAGCAATGAACTTGCTTGCAGCACTCTAAGTGGTCTGGAGTAGAAAATGAACTCAGTAAACTGTTAAACGTCACACCATTTAACTTCAAACCCAATTGCATCATCTCTCTGACTAACATCATTGCTTCACAAGGTTCTTCATTCTGTGAATAAGCAGTAACCATGGATGTCCAAGTAATCAGGTTCTTATCCACTATACGGTCGAACACCAACTTTGAGAGGCCAACGCTACAAGACTTTGAGTACATATCAATCAGTCCGGTCCCCACGACAACATGACTACCAAACCCTGCTTTCAAACTTATTGAATGAAGCTGCTCTCCGAGGTCCCTGTCCTCCAATTGTGAACAACTGACCAGACAACTAGAAAGGCTGAATGGCGTAACTGAATTTTCCTGTCGGAGCATCTCAACAAATAATTGAACAGCCACTTTCGAGAAATTAGCATCCAAATAGCCAGAAATAAGCGAGTTCCACGTGACAACATTTCTAGCTGGCATTTCATCGAATATTTTCTGGGCACTCTGGATGTCACCGCATTTGGAATACATGTAGACAACTGCGCTAGACACACACACGTTTGAAGTAAAACCCAGCTTCACTATTGGCGAATGTAACTGAATGCCCGCTAAGAAAGACGCAGATTTGGCACAAAATGAGACGGCTTTATTAATGAAGTAAGGATCAGTTAAAGACCCAGCAATATGAAACCCAGCCAATAGTCCCAGTTCAGCTGAACGCTGCTGCTTGGTGTCGCATTCTTCGAAGGCCTGGGATTTCTCAAGGCGGTAAGCCCATTCTGGTCTGAAGCTGGCGAAGCAGCGGCGAGAGGATATCAGCAGCCAAGCCGGTTTTAAAGGTTTGGAAGAGTTGTAGCGCCGGGCGGATGTAGAGAGACGGCAAAAACTGAATTCCCATAGTGTCATTCAATGGCGTAACGCACCAAAAACACCCCAGCCGGTGGGGATTGTACACTCGAAATGCAAACGAATGACTGAATTTGAAATTCCTGCTTACCTGCATGAGAATAGGCCGGGAGCACGCCGTATGTATGTCCTCCGGCGAGAAATCATGCGGGCGACGTGGTAGTGTCAGGTTCAATTTCAATGCGCCATCATCTCCTTCTCACTGAAATCGGAGAATTGACTGAGGAGGGACGGGATTTTGGAGACAGACGGAACAGGAAGTAGAAGCAAAAAAAAAGAAAATGTTTTGAAGAACAGAACAGAAAGTTTGCTTGGTTCGGCTCGCCGGGATGAATATACAAAACAGATTTGGTAAACACTCGCTTCGTGGGCCGGGCCCGCCAAGGGATCGATTTCTAAAACGGAACTATTTCTTCTAATTAAGGTAAGCGGGCTTAGCCCATAACCGAAACCACTACACTCCACGGCCCACACGAATATAGCCGAATAACGAGAAAACCAAAGCCTGATCCAGAACCCAAGTCGTTTCAATCAAAATCAAGCAGAGGACGACAGAAGCAGAGCAGCAGCAAGCAAGAGGCAGAAAGAAAACAGAGTAAATGAAGCTCGATCCTCTGTAAATCAAAGATGTTGTAGGTCATAAGCCTGGTTGCCCAAGAAGCTGGAGCCATTCTTAACCATCTCGAACGTCGCAAAGGCAGTTGCGTGGCCAACAACCGCCTTCAAACAGTGCGGCTGAATGCCTCTGTACAGTCCCCCAACGCCTTCCTTCTCGACCATCTCGCTAACCATCTGGCGCATTCCTCGCCTGCAACCGGCGCCTTTTCGGCCTTCGGTCTGCATTCTTCTTCGCACAACGTTGATCGGAAATGTTGCTGTTACAAAATGTACAATAAGCAGTTAGTTTGATTGATTAATGTGTATTTATAACGATAAGAATTAGTAGCTTTATCTTTTCACCTGTTGTAGCAGCAAGGCCAGCAATGCCACCGCAAACAAGGGCGATCGTGAATGGAGAGTCACTGCAATATTAGATGAAGATCATGATTAAACACTGACATGAAAAGAAGGAAAATCACAATTTGTTCGTTGTTGTTGGTGTAACCTTATTTTGCTCAAACTCATTGAGAGACGGTCATATACAGCGAGACTGATTGCCATGGACGGAACGATGCCCTGAAACGTGATAGAAAAACCCAATCAATCAACATAATCTAAAGAACTCGATTGTGTGGCTGGGTTCAAAAAAGGCGTAATTCTGCGTACGTTTAGGCACTAGGCAGTAACAAAAATGTCTTGCTTAGCGCTAGGCAGACAGTTATGCTTTTATTACGTATAGACGAACCCAATGCGAAAGTGAACATGATTTATTGGCGTGATACGTGATTAATCGAATTAAGGCACACTTAAGCACATTGACAGACCTAATCTTCCCAAATCAATGTCATCTCCATTGTCCTATATTTTACACATCTTTCGCTCCTCCTTTCTCGATTTGGAACTGTAATTATAGCTAGGTCAATGATACAAAGACTCAATGATAACTTAGTTGTAGTGTTTGTGTAGACTAGATAATATTACTGACCAGTAATGATGCTGAAACTCCAGCATAAAGTGACCCAACGCCATCTTCTTTGCAAATATTGCACAAGGTACGCCATGCTCCCTCATAATTCCTACTCGTCTGCATTCATATTCCACAACAAACATAATTAGCACCAATAATTAACTCGTAAAGCATATATATTACTACTAGCCATCATAAAACGAAACACGTTTCGTGTCCAGAGGCATGCAGTGTATATACATACCTGTACTGCGATGCGTGCTGTCAAGGTATCCAGAGGATGCGAAATAGCCGTAGCTGTTGCAGCAGCCAGTCCCCCGCTCACCAAAGCTGCTGTGCCAAGTCCCATTGGCACACTTGACTGCGTGCACGCATACAAAATTAAATCGCAGTCCGGATCGTATATCGCATACTAACATGCATGCTCTCTCGAACTCAGGTCGCTCGTATAATTTTGAAATTTGCATAGTTTGAAAATGAGATTGTGATCAACATTCTCGTAGAAGACCTTTTGATCAGGCTCTCGCGTTTATTAGAACCCTAACGTTGGTTTATGACATGATACTAGGGTTGATTTAGTTCTTAATGTTACGTGTTAAAATCTTCGCGACCCTCAATATCAATCGTACTGTCTTAAAGTACATGATAAGATACTTATATGGACCTCTTCCCAACGACTCGAATTATTGCAATCAATTAGTTCATGACAAAAGTAATAATAAGTAGGAGGAAGGATCACCATGAGTAGAGTCCTGAAATTTTGATAGGCCAACAAGTTGATCCCGAAGAAAGTGAGCTGATGAGCAATAGAGACCCAATTCCCCCTCCAAAGCCCTTCGTACCCTCCAACACCACCTTGTTCTTCAACAATCCGAGCAGCCTGCTCCGACATGCTTCTCCTCCTCCCTCCTTCTTCGACCTATAGGGTAATTACAAATTAAAAACATTATTATGTCACGGATTGAAAAAATCGACAATATCAAAAACATGTTGTTTACTAATACGATGTGTATGCGCGGACTTCCGGTCAAATTATAGATAATCTTTCTTCAAGTCGTAGCAACTGGCGGTTAATTACCTGAGAGAGAATAGTGATGCGGGAGAGCGGGGCGGTGCAGGTTTGGCCGACGGCTACAGCGACGGCGGCGGCGACGGGACAAAGAGCAAAAGCAGTGAAGACGGGATCGAAGTTGATTCCCCTGAAGAGAAGCTGGTGCTCCATGAACTCGTGAAGCATCCTTTGGGCGCGGATAATGTCACTCTTCGCAATCCTGGAGAATCGCTGGAAGGCTTCATCGAACTCCTTGGTGTTCCTCGCCGTATCCAATAAGTTCTCGCCGTACTTGTCCGTTACTGATGCAACCACTTGCAAACAAGCTACAAATTTTTTGGCCTCCTCTTCGTTGGGCAAGGGACCGAACGAAAACCCTGCGCCCATCCTCTGCTCTGTGGTAAAAAATTATTATGCTGAAATTTCCCAAAGTCCAGTGCAACTCTCGTTATGTAATGATCGAATAAATAATGTATATATTTTACGATATGGAATGAGGAAAATCGAAAACTAGATTGGGAGAGTCCGAGAGAGGTCGGTTTCCGTCGGGGAGGCGGATGAATCAAATATTCGCGGGGGAAAAGAATTAAAAATAAAAAAAGAGGGAATGAATACGGTTGTCGTCTAACTTTGATGTGGGCCGGGATGGTATTTTGGGCCGGAAACAAATCGAGCGTATTTGATATGGTGGAGGATCTTGGGTCTAGGCTCGCGGCCCATTATGGCATTTTAAGTTGAGGGATTAGACCAAGCCCAACTAACCACCTATTAGTATTTTAAGTTGAGGGATTTATCCCGATAGTGCAAAATATCGGACCTCCAATCCTCATTCTCTTTGGAAACGATTCACCCTTAGGGCTAGTCTCTCTTCTTTTTTTACTGAAATCTGCGCTAGGCTTTTATTACGAATGAGAATCCTTAGGGCTAGTCTCTCTAACAGTCACGTTGGGTGAAATAAAGATTGAATTGAATTGAATTGTAGTCATGTGACAGAAATGTTATAAATGTTGTTTTTCATTTTTATAACGAGTACTTTCTTAAACAAGTTTTATATTTGACAAAACAAAAATTATCACACCTAATTTTTATAATTTATTCGTATAATTCTTTTTATGTGTTATGTACACTTATTTATGTTCAAGTATACTATTAATATAATCGTTTTTATCTCATCCATTCCATCAATTGATGATCATGTTAAGTTATCGATCTCTCCTTATTATGTAATGGTTTAATACACTTGTATATTCAAAACTTTCACGATTGTGTCAATATCAAAATTTCTTAAAATACCACTTATAGCCATGTTTTAAAGTTGTTCTTTGCCAAATCTATCAATTTCCCAATATATTTTTGGTTAAATACACTTGTATATCCAAAAACACCGTTAAAGAATGTGACGGAATTGGATATAAGTGGTATTTCGGAAAATTTGGATACTATTGGTACAACCATTAAAATTTTTGGATATACAAGTGTATTTAACCTTATGTAATTGGTGAAATATATAAATAAAAATTTATTGAAGTAAAAATATTGATTAGCGAGTAACTTTTTTGGTCACACTATGATATAACATTATAATTAAAGGAGCTTGTTATCAGTACAAATGCCTATAAGGCTATACCATAGATCACTTCATTCTATAATATTGCTTTTATTCCAATAATAAATAGTCCATTATTTCTTTATGTAACAAAGTACAAATATTAAAAATATGCCTGGTATACAATACTGAAAACTTGATAATAAAAAAAGTGTAAAATTATGCCTCAATTAATCATCAAAATTCAAAAAATGAATACTTAACACACCCCATTTAACTACATATCCTTGTGCTAGTGAACCATTTAGTCATCTTTGCCCTCTTCTGGTCTGAAGAGATTCACTTTCCTTCCAAACTTAGGCTGCAATGGTCTAGCGTTTGAGTTTGCATCCTGCAATACCAAAAATTGAAAAATTCAGATTGTTTGTAAAGATCATTTTGATAAAAAAAAAAAAAAAAACCTGTGCAGGGTCAAAGAAACTCACATCATGAACAGCCACCCGAAGCAACCTCAATTGTTCTCTAGAGACGGTTCTAACCTGTCAAGGATTACAATACATGTAATGTTATACCCTCGTGTAGAAAAAACAGTAATATTAATCATATATGTAATAAGTTTTTACCTAACTATCGCAAAGTAATTACCTTTTTAACAATACTCCATGTAACATTTTCCGTGCAAGGTGGGATAGTAAGTGAGCCAATGTATCGATAGTACTTTCTGCTGCCGATCTTGATATTTCTCGGATCCACTACTCCCACCGTCGTCTCATCTTCTTTAGTCCCGGCTACATCCTCTAAATGATGTTGTATCTGATCCAATTATTTTAAGCCCAACCCAAATACACCAAATATATCAGAGAAATTCACAGGATATTAAGTTTGGAAAGAAATTAAAGAAAGGAAAATAACTTTAGTTAATGTAGGGTTTAGTGCGAGTCACCGATTGAAGGAATGAGTCGGGCCTTCCTATTGTGTATAGAATCCCAACGACAACAATTTTGCCATCGGCACTTTCATGAACCATGTGAGCTTCCATGGCATATTTCTTGCCATTGATGGTGTGCTCAGAAGGAGTGTGCCAATGGCATTGCTCGAGAGTGTATTCAGTTCCATTTACTCGAATGCTTCCTGCTCCACCTTCCCACTTCATCTGCATCCGCCATATTCATTCACTCTCATCAATCACATCAACTCACATATTAACTTAGGAATATATCTTGAATAGTATGATTAAATATGTAATCGAGTCTTTTTTTCAATGATCAGAGTATACCTACCGACCTAAATTGATTTTCGATATGACACCAGAGATTTTTTGATGAACAGTACTAATATTGTTTTCAAATCATCACAGAATCTCGTGCTAACAAGCGTGAATTGATAGGATTGAACTTCATAACGGTTAATCAGTATTTCCATGCATAAGAGGTAGTGGTGGAGTCAAGTTGGTGACGCCGCGCAGGGGAAACTATAGCCCCCACGTACTCAACTCACAAAACCATGTAAAATAATTACTTGTAATTATTGTAATAAATCTAGGAATCGTAGTAGTTTGATAAGGCTTTACCTCCATCACTGATTCAAATTTTCTAAGCCTAATTTTTTTTAAGCTCATCCATTATTCAGATTTCTGACTAAGAAACTCTACATATATCCTCAAATTGTCATAAACCAGAGTTGTTGGGAGAAGGTTATGCTGGATCTTATACTACACTCTAACACGCCCCCTCAAACGAAAGCCAACTCACGGGCTTGAAGTTTGCAACGGCCCACCATACGTTGTGCTTTAATAAACTGTTAATATTGGGGGGTCTTGGAGATTCGAACACATGACCTTTCGGTTCTAGGCTCTGATACCATGTCATAAACCAGTTGGTTCCAATAACTCGAGTTGTTGGAGAGAAAAGGTTATGCTGGATCTTATACCACACTCTCACAAAAAAAATATCATATAGCATCTAATCCAATACAATAAAAATAGACTATATATATGCATACATACCATCATGTCGTGGCCTCTGTTCATGAGAGTGGCATTGGCTGCCTTGTAGCTTCTGTTAAGCCTCCCCAAATGAGAGACGACGTCAACTCTCTCGTCCAACATATCAATGGGAGACTGCATCTTCCCGCTGTTGCAACTGTGCCAGTCTGGATGAATCTCACCCCACCGGTTCGGCCCGTTCTCCCCGTCCGGCCGGTAAGTAAACTCCCTCTCATCCTCTGCACAACAAACGTATAAACTTGAGAAAACAAAGGATTGTCGCTCAATGAGATTATAATGTGCGGCCGGCGGCCGCTTTACTTACCAACTTCAGTAGCTGCGGAGGAAATCGGGATGGCGGCCAGAAAGAGAGCCAGGAAGAAGAAGGTGACGAGGGAACGTTGGAGCATCTGTGAGAGAAGAAGTTTTCTGGCCATGTTGGAGGAAGCTAGCTAGAGAGCTATGAGAAAACCTTCTGAAAGAGAGAGCAGGAGAGAAAGTTGAAGTTTGATTTGGACTTGAAGGAGATCAACGTTATTTGATGTGTGGTGGTGGGGACTGGGGAGCTTAATTGGATGGTTTATATAGAGAAATGTAAAATGACGTACGTGGGAGAAGTTTTGAATGTGAAACGAGGAAAGGAAGAAATGTACGTAATGTTGACTGGGCGAGAAGAGACAAGAGCGTTCCTTTCTGCTTCCTCGGTTTCAATACTTAACTATTTCATGTTTGATACTGACGAGAACAGAAAACAATAAAATGAGTTGGGTTTTACTATATATAATTGCAAGTGCCGGTTGATAAATATATAATTAATGATAACATGTAGCATGTTTCCAAATTATAATAAGGAGGAAGTGTTACGTTGGGAAGCCGGTTGTTTGAAATATCATGTGGATGAATATGTAAAAGGGCATTTCGCCATTTACTTAAATCATCGGTAAAATATATCTGTCGTGGATTGGACAATTGTGGTGTATAATATACTTTAACATGTTACACTGATATATGCATTTATTAGTTTCTAACATTGATTGTTGTTGCTTGTTATTAGTATACATTACCAAGTTTTAAATTTTTTGGTATCGGTTATGCTATATATATAATAAAAATTAGATGATTGTTTGTAATGATTTTTTACTAGTATATGTATACAAGTTCCTAGTATGAGTGGTGCCAATTTCTTATGTGCATTAGACCAACAAGCTATGATATCCATTTCTTGATGATTTTCACTGGTATGCGTTTGCAAATTTATGATATATAGACTCTACAATTTCTAATATTGATTTTTGAAGGCATTCATTTATTTTAAATAGGATTATTTCGTAGCTCTTTGCTACCGATTAGGGGATTTTTTGTATACATTTTCTACCATTAAAACAACCGTCGAAACTTAGAAACCGATCACCCAAAATTTTCTTCATTATTTTTAATAAAGATATCCTCAATTATATAAAAAAAATCTCCCACATTTACCTCCAAAATTCCTCTTCCGAGTTAACCCTAAACACGATTTATGATCGATTAACAAACCTATCTTTGATCGGTTATCGCATACGTCTGTAATGACGTCCTATATATCTGAAGTTACAAATAGTTGAATTTGATGCAAAGATTTAGTGGGGGCAGTTGACGAATTAGCCTTTGTAACAACGATGGAAACGAACACATCGTGACAAATGTCTTTCACACAGGAAACCTCCAAGCTAATGCCTACTATTTAGCCTTGCACTCTAATCTAATAAAAGTGGTAATTAATGCAAAGTTTCTATTAATTAAACTCAGATTTTCATTGCCGCTTTGTCACTTTTCTTTGTGTTTGACCGGGCTTACACCAGAATGCCAGATTGGGGTTAGTAAAATTGTTTCGGCAGAGTTATAATTACTTTGAATAATTGAGGAATTAAGTCATGGCAGGCAGCCTCATTATATGATTAGGAGAACGAATGTTGAAAATTTAAAGTTTGACAATTTCGCAGAATATCGCTAATACCATAATTAATTAGGACTAATTGTGTGTGTGTTCGGTGGTGATCAACTTTTTGAATTAATGGTACGCCGGTTGACGTATCATCAAATCCTTTTCATTATACAAATGCGGTTTTCTATTTCTTTTTCATTCATCCCCCACCAGCCTTCCACATCCAATAGCTTCCATCTATTTCTTCTACCAAGAACATATTAACCCCTTTCATTTTGACTTGGCTATTTGTACACAAATCCATCTACTATCTTATATCGCATTACGCTAGGTAATCGTATTGAGACTGCTGGTTCATGACATGTCAATCAAAGACTTTAATTGAGAGGTGTCATATATATAGGAATTCTTGCACGTATGATGTGTCTTTACGAACTTTAAGTTTAATGGGCTGGTTTTCATTCAAAAGAAACGTGTAAATCAATATGATATGGGATCCATACTAGGATCTCTTCCGATCTACCACTAGAGTTACCGAGGCTAATTGATGATTGATAGCACGTTGATCACGTGCGGCAGTGCACCTATACAAAATCGAACAAATATTTCATAAATAAGGGGAAAACGTCATTTTTAGAAAAAAAATCCGAATACAAAGAACGAATTCTAAAGTGCTCGAGGATTAATTGACAAGCTAGAAAGAATTGGAATCATGGGGATGATAAATTTCTTGATCTTAGCTAGCTAGGTCGTACGCGTCCAAGTTCACCTAATTCTACCATTAATGGTAGATTAATTACCAACTATAGCTTAGCTTATTAGAATAAGCTTTGGTGGGAGACTAATTATCAATTTATCATGTACCTTAATTTCTTCCTAATTTTCCATCATGTAACTCGATCTTGACGTTATTGCTGGATTTGTTAAAGCATAAAATATTATGTATAGCCACCAAACTTTCCATCTTCGATCTCTTTTCTCTTTCTCTTCAAGAAACTGCTCCATTTTCTTCTGGTCAAGTTGTGAAAAGTAAATTTTCGTGCTTCTATATTTACGGGTGCATCAAAGTGTTTTCCCATTGTTATGGCTGATAAAGTGGAATATAATTACAACTTTGTTTAATGGTGTAATATTGGAAATTTGTGCAGAGCTTCATTATAAGGTTTCAGATGACCTGAGAAGAAACAAATTAATGGTGATTAAAATATACATAGTCTGACCGTCTCCTTTCAAATATTGAAGATTGATGGAGAAAAACCCACAAGTCAAAGTGGAAGTTGATGAGTTTCGTTTCGTTTGGATCGTCTAGAACGTCGGCTGGCTACCCATAAACATGAAATCAAATCTTCTTAATTAATAATGATTTTTTGGGAGTAATCACTCAGATCGACAAGCCATTAGTTTGTCTTTGCCTCATTGTTTCTAGGAAACATACATAAAATGAAAAAGAAGTAGCTAGCTAGGAGCATAAAAAATAGATCGGCAGATCTCGTGATGTACGTATTTCTAGAGCTCGTCCATTGCTTATTATATGCTTCTTCGATGAAAGTAAGCTTTCAATCCTTCATAAAACAAGAAATTTGATATGCTGGTGTAGATAGGATTTCGTTCAAGGTGAATCCGACTTAGAAAAATAATTAATAAGATTACTTCATTTAAATAATATCTTATGATTCCTACTATTTACGTGTTTCTGGATTTTGAATATTAATCATCCTAATTGTAAAAATGTCGATCATAACATATCCTATCAAACAATCATGCATACCTCCATCACTCATCCAACTTTAAAGTATGTTCTTTACGTTGTTTCATTGCGTAAAATATGCTCTTTTAACACTTGAGTACTTAGGGCTGCAAATGAGCCGAGCTGAGCCGAGCTTTACACCAGCTTGAACTTGACTCATTAACAAATGATCTGAGCTCAAGCCGGAACCATTTATTAACGAGTCGAGTAGAGTCGAGTTCGAGCTAGACTTGTTTACTAAATTCTTAGATCGTATTTGATACATTCATTTTGTATGGCGTGTATGGTACATGTGATTGATGTAACGATAGAAAAATAATAAAATGTTCAACATTAGTTAATCTTATATTATAATTTGTAGGTGTCATATCGTTTAGTTAATAAATTTTAACTAGTTCAAATCATGTTATGTCATAGTATCGAAACAATTTTGTACATAATTTCTTTATAGAATTAAAAATAAGACATATTTTCTTACATGTTCAACATGTTAAACATCACATGGTGTGAGATATATAATTTAACAATCCTATGAATTATGAAAGTCCAAATTAGATCGATTTGTCCATAAGTCGGTGATCAAGTTGGCCCTGAAACCACGATGTTGAGACATCTCATGAGCTCTGAATGAGCCAACTCACGAGTTGAGCTCAACAAGCCACCGAGTCGAGCTAGCTTCACGAGCTGAACAAAGCTAAGCTCAAGCTTGGCTGGTTGGTAAACGAGTCGAGTTTCAAACGAGTTTTTCCCGATTCGAGCCTCGAGTTGCTCGCGAGTAGCTCAGCTCATTTGCAGCCTTAGTAGTACTGACATATTGTGGCAAGTGTTATGGAAAACGATTCACAAAAAAATATGTTCCTTGCCACACAAGTCATATATAGAAATCGACACATGCATAAACAACGCCCGAGCCAATAGAATTCACTATTTCTCCTTAAGGAATTTAGTTCCCCTCTACGGTACCCAAGGTTATTGGAACTATTCCTCCCAGGATAGAACGGACGTACCTTTTCTGGCTGTACCGGTACTTGAAACACCAGAATCCGACGAACGCGACGATCGGAGAGAAGTCACACGACTCTGTTTTCCTTTATGAGTTTGTAGAGAGGAAATGCAATGAAGAATGAAAAATTCTTTTATCTTTTGGCCAGAAAAATTTCTTGGGAAAAATCTCTTGTGTCGAAAACAGAGGGGGGTAGGTGTTTATTTATAGATAATGAAGGGGTGCGAGTGAAGGGATGTGACCCTTCAAGTGGGTGGTTACACCCCAACCATTGCAATGGTTCAGTGAAGGGATGTGACCCTTCAAGTGGGTGGTTACACCCCAACCATTGCATCGGTTCGCCATAGTAGTTGGACCGGTTGGTTCATTCCAACCGCCACATCGGTTCGGTCCGATTCGGTTCAACTTGGTTTAACCAATAACTCACCAACTATTGGCTTCTTCCCCTTTCATTCTCATTCACACCTTTCAATCCCAACAATCCCCCACATGAAAGAGAATGCTAAGTTTTGAAAACTATGCAAAAAAACTGTGTGACTCTCAACTAAGAATTAGTTGTATTAGGATAGGTGGGTTTCCCTTTGAACCTTCCCTAGTGAACATATATCGAGTATACTCACCAATCGGTAGATATGATATCTTTGAACCGTCGGTTTTCTTGTATACTAAGACAACATATGTCACACAACCAACTCTTATCCGCTCGTTGGTTCTCATTGTTGTGTTCGTTTCAGCC